CACAAAATATGAAAATTTGCAACAGAGATAACTTATAGAGTCATCAACTCTGTGTGACTAAGCAATGCAAGGTCTCAGAGTGAGGGTCATGGTTGGCTCAAGTCTCTTTGCCTTGGTTATTCTGTCACTCTTCGAAGAACTCTGGACCTCCAGTGCTTTGCCTTCTTGTACCAGCTTTCTTCTCTTTGTTCAAGCTAGGTACTTAGAAAATCTAACTTGGTTCACGGTGAAGGAATCCACATGAAAACAAATACCTACAGTTCACAGTTTGTACATGAGGTACTTTTTAGAATACTGATAACTGGATTCCTCAGCATATTAAAAATCTTTGCAGAAAATTAAAAAAAAAATGTATCATTACAATCACAATCTATAAAACTTTGAAATATCTTAATATCTAAAGAAAAATTATGAAAATAGATAATAAAAGGTAATGCATGAAATAAAAACAAAATGAAATGTGAACTAAATACTGGCTGTAAGTTTTTTGAAGTTATTCAATTACATTGTCTTAAATGACAACTCCTAAATGGGACCGATTACAAGAAAATTGATTTTTAAATCTGAAGATTACACTGAAAATAAGAATTTTTATATTAAAAACATCTGCATTTGCAATGATTTAAAGCTTTGAATTCATAAGCATGTTCTTAAAACCATGGGAAATTATTCTACTGTCTGCTAGAAGGTAGAAAGATACCATCATTTCAGGAATCTGAAGATGAGAAACAAATAGGCTTCATACTATTTTGTAATGTAGATAAACTTTATCAGAGATAACATTTTTGGATAGACATGAAGTCAAATTTTGCATAAAGTTCAACCTGAGATTTTCTCTTTACAGACAAAATGATAAGAAAATATAATAAATGAAACTGGTTGAGAACTTGGCCTTCCAAATAATTTAAAAATAAATAGCAGCTCTTTGAATGTAAAAAGTCCTGATGATTGCTTCTACCTTCATTCTATTTGCCAGCATGTTCATACCCCCAAGTCCCATAATCAAGGTATAAATGTAAAGCTCTCTAAGAGTTGTTTCATAACTAATGACTTTATTAGCAAATACTTTTTAGTGGAGGCTTGAATCCCCACAAAATATATATTTTACAGAGTTAGATGGCAAATTATTATTTATTCTAATTGGAAAATATGATTTACTAGATTCAAAAGAGTACATTTAGTTTTTTGTTCCTTTTTAAATGAGATGTTTGCATCCTTGCATTTTTTTCAATTTGCAATTCAAACCACATGTGTTTTAAACTGTTTAAAAATAAATGTTTTACAATCAAGATGGATTTATCTCTTACAGGTCTCTGGGCTTCCTGTATTCAGAGCCTTTTTAAAAGTATTTATCTAATAAAAAACAAGATGACCTAAAATATGGCATTTCTTTAAAACAACCAAATCTATCCAAGATGTGTTTCAGTAAGTATACTGAAATATTTTAAACACATTATATAACTTATTAAAGAGTTGATACATTTGATATTTAGAAAAAATCAAGCAAAAATGGACAAGATACTGATAAGTCATTGTTTTGAAATGTTGTTACAAAAATTCCCTTAAAGGAAAAAAAATATATAATTTCTCATCATCTTAAAAATACTTACTGACAAGAAACAAAACTACAAAATTGGATGAGCTAATGAACTCCACTCATAGAAATGGATAAATCAGTTTTTATAAGCCAGATCCCCAAAACATTTTATTTGGTAAATCCAAAGACTCATTATATTTTGAATGTTCTTTTATCATTCAACAGGATTGGAATACTTGACTAAATCCTTAGCTAAAAGGTTAGCATATTTTCTCTTCTCAGCAGAATGACAATTAAAAAACCAAACAACAAAAAAAGACACACATATCCAACCTATTCTCTACAAAGCACAGCTTTATAAAATGGGGGTTCTACAGTAGTTAACGGAAATGAATGACCATATTTCATTCTGAATTTAATATGGATTTAAACAAATACAAACTGGTCTTTTATTGTTTTGAGCAATTGCTTAGATGATGTCATTTTTAAGGGGAGAATGCTGTTTTTAATACAAATTCTTTAATCATTTCATAGAAGTAATAAACATTTAAATGTTAAATACCTTTTCCAAAAAATGCAGACCTACCTTGATTTCCACAATAAGCCTCTATTAATTTCCATGAGACAATGTTTTCACAAAATGTAAGGCAAAACAGGTGTTAAATTATTTAACAGAACTCATAATTTAAATAATTAAAACTAATTTGTGTTTAAAGCTATTTGCAGATTTATTAGAGAAACAAATACAAATATGCATTTCTACAGAACTGTTTTTTGTTTTTTTTTTCCAAAGTGAGCTTAAAACTTGTTCCACAGTTTTGACTTGTTTATATATCTATGGTAACCCAAGTATTGGCTTCTGTACCACTTATAATGAGACAATTGCCCTTCCATTGCAATTATAAAAAACTATTTAAAAAAAATTCAGCACATACACGTTAAATATTTTTCCTTAAAAAAATAATCTAATCAAAATATTGAATACTTTAGATTTAAACAATATTTTATTTACAAATCTGAAGTGATGTACTTTATTAATTATACAAGGTAATGCTTCAATTTTCAAGAACATTTTTTTTTTTTAAATATAGACCAGTGGAATGACATCCTATCTAGTAATATGTACTACACTTCATATTTTTCTCAAAATTAACATGACAAAATTTCTATTAATTTCATCTTTTTTTGAAAAAAAGGTAACTTAATTGGGGCACATATCTGATGAAACAAAAAATAACATGCATAATTCAAAAAATAATCTGTTAAAATAACATGATACTTACCATTTACGCAAAAAGACATCTATGAACAACAGTGCATAACAATATTATGTATTTATGTTTATGAGAAACCAAGCAGGAGGCAAAATGAATTCATCCTGTTTTCTAATCATGTGCAACTTCATATGGCTGTTTGCATCATTTAAATAAAGTGTGTACATTAAATTTGTAAGACTGCATTGCACTAAAAATTATTATGTATAGTCATGCTTGCCATGTATTTAATGAGTAATGAAGTTTTCCTACTAACAGAGTAACTGGTCT